AAGAATATTGTCTAAGTTTATTGCTAAGCACTGCTTAATGTGGAATATAGTACTTAATTCATCCCATATTTATAGCAGAAGAGTGTGCCCAGTTTTTTTTTTTTTTTTAATTATTATATATATATTTCCATTTTTTCTTTTTGAGTTTTTGAAAAAATACCAACTGATTCAAACTTTGCAGCATTACCAAACAAACCATATTTTTCTAGACTAATTGTAGGCCAATCAATGGAGCAAGTGAGTTTTTTGATTTTTTTTTTTTTGGTTTTGCCCAATCTGCTATTAGAAAGAAAAGGGAATGACTCAGCTATTAATTCAAAATAAATGTTATAAGCAAAATTTTATTTAATTCCAAGCGAAATTCTTTGGCCATTCGCCTTTATTACTAAATCTCATTCGTCACTCTCTCTTGCCTCTCTCACGTTATACGAAAATAAATGTATAAATTATGTTTGTGTTTGTATAAAACGAGAGAAACTATATATACAAATATAAATACATATATATTCGTCCTGCACACTTATAATTACACAAATATAACTCAATTTTCTTTTGTCTTTGTCTCTCGCTTTATACAAACACAAATTATACAAAATTCAATGCATAAATTTTGTTTGTATAAAGCACGAGAGAGATTTGATATACAAATACAAATATTTTAACTCGATTCAATTGTATACAAATTTTCAATTTTTATGCAGATATACAAATACAATCATTGATACATATGCATAGTATTTATATATATACAATTATCTAAACGATATACATATACAGTTAACATCTCTCCCCTCTATGTCCTCTCTCGCTCGCGTCTCTCCTCTCTCTCCTAATCTCGCTCGCTACTCTAGTCTAACACAAAGTACATATACATATATAAACACAATTTTTACAGACACAGACACCCGATTTATATAAATTATTGCGGTGTATACAAATTATTGTGAATAGTACAAATCAAATGCATGTGATTTTACACAATCAGATAATCCATAGCAAAACTGTAGCTCTACTATAAAGCACTAATATAATTTTTATATTTGCTATTCCTAAAATTTACTCCAAAATATAATTAAATTAAATAAATGAGTTGGAAAATATCATGAATACTTGAGCTAATTCCTTTGGCCCTGAAGTTTGAAAGCATTTTGACTTATAGATATTTTTGATACTTTTAGAACTTTTAACATTAAGTTATATTTCTAATCTGGGAAAATGCACACGTATCCCTCAAAACTATGAATGAAATTTCAACACATCTTAACTATTCTAAGGTTTTATTATTTCCTAAACTTATTTTTTTTAATTTTGTGTATATTTTGTTGACGTGACATCTAAATATCTCTCACGCGCCTCAATTGTATGGAGTCAAAGAGTGTCTCACGTAAGATAAAAGGTGTATAACATTATAAAAAAAAATTCAAAGGATAATATAACCTTAATTTTATCAATATGTATCTCTAAAATTTTAATTATAGTCTAGAAGGTTACTTATGCATTTCCCATATAAAAGAAAATGTCACATTAGAGGGAATAGTGTACCATATCAATTAAAACATGATAGTAGTATTTAGAGTTCTTTTGTTTTCTAGTTATAGGGCCCGTTTGGATGGGCTTAATAAAAGCAGTTTTAAAAAAGTACTTTTGAAAGTGCTGAAACTTATTTTTAAAATAATAAGCAGTTATGCGTTTGGATAAAAGTGCTGAAGTTGTTATGCCAAACGTGAAAAGGGAAAAATAGAAGAAAGAGATGTTAGGGTTATATGGGTAATTTGGAGATTGTATAAAAATATTAAGGGAAAAAACATAAAAATGTGGTTAACTTAAAACAGCTTATAAGCTAAAAAAAAAGCACCCCTACCCCAGCTTTTAACTTTTGGCTTAAAATAAGTTTTTTTAACTTAAAATAAGCTATTTTGAGTATTGCCAAACAGTTAAATAAGTCAAAAACCAGCTTTTAAGTCAGTTTGATCAGCTTTTAAGCTGAGCCAAACAGACTCATAAATTAAATTATTTCTAATATACAAAGGTAATATCTTTAATATATTTGGTCAAATTAAGGAAGTAGTATATACGAATTTTTTCTTTCTTTCTTGATCGTATGAAACCAATAACAATGGAGAATCTTTAATATATTTGGTCAAATTAGAATAATATACATGGTCTAATTAATTATACATTTATTTATATCAAGAATAACCTGTTTTTTCATTAATTTATTCAATTATATAATATTTTAAATTTAGTACACTATTAATATTCTAAATAAAATTACATCATCAAGTTAAATTCATATTCAATATTAGATAAGTTTTCGTTTTTTCTAAAAAAGATTTACTCGTATATGATAACAATCCGTTAAATTATTTGTAAAAAAATATATCTTATTAGAACATATAAATTAAATTAAATATTAATAGAGAAAAGAGAAGAAGATTCTGTTATGAATTTTTCATGTCAATTAGCAGGTTTAAACAATTAGTATGACTAAATTAAACCGCGTAACTAATCATTTGGTTAATCAATTTTTTCCAACTTTTGAGTTATCTTAATGCTAAAATTCCTTATTCTTGCATTTCTAGATGCAAAAATGGATATCTATTTGACTATAAGATTATTATTTAATTATAATAATGTAACTTGCAAAATATTCAATTAGTTTTACATTTGCTTTCTAAAAGTCACAATAATTTCTAACTTAGGCAGTTGACACTTAAATTTGGCCCAAAGTCAACCATTGATACACAGTATAACTCCAATAAGTGTATGGTTTGTGGTGTATGAGTCGGTTTAGATTGAATTAAAAAAAAAATTAATTTTAAATAATTTTTTTAAGTCAAAAAATAAAAAAAATAGGAGAGACCTGTTTTTGATTATAAACTTATTTAAGTTATTTTAATATTGTCAAACATTTTCTAACTTATTTTAAACTAGTTTTATATTTGACAAACTTCAGAAGTAAAAAACTGACTTAAAAGTAAATTTGATCAACTTTTAAGTCAATTCAAACATCGTACGGGTATTTAGGATCCCAAGCTGGTTAAGGCTTGATTTAATATATCAATATTTACCAGACCTTTTGGTGCTTTTTCTTGTTTGTTTTTTCAGGAAAATAAAATGAATTGAGAGTAGCTAAAGAAATTTATTTTTTTTTAATTCCAAAGGAAAAACATTCTAAAAGAAAAAAAACCAAAAGAGATATTCAGTGGTAATAAACTACCTAATTAATTCTCTAGCTAAGAATTTTTTATTCTTTTGCTACTCTAATATAATGCATGTAGGATTATAGATTAAAAAAAAATACAATAATTATTATTATAAAAGAAAAGAAAAGATAGAGTGGTTAATCGATCACATTCAATTTATACTGAAGAATATTTGTATTCAAATTCTGGTCGAAACCAAGTTGGACTATTGTACTATTATTTCATCAAGACTATGAAAGAGAGTATTAATTATATAAAGCCCAAGCACTAATTAGGGTTAGATGAATATATTTGACTTAATCAACCTTTATTATTTACATTAAAGCATGCAAGTTGATTAATTAAATGTTACATATTAATCAATCAAAGAAATTTTCCCCCTACTTTCAAAAGTTGAACATTAATTTGCCATTATGCATTCATCCCATGCCAATTATAGATGTTCTTTCAATTAAAATATAGCCAATGTTTGTTTTGTATTCAATTCAAAGGTGGAGCCAAGTTTAAGAGTTTGGGGTTTTAAATTAATTTCGTTTAGGGGTTCACATGTTAATATACATATATATTTGTTTATTTTTTTTAAAAACAGATATAGGGCTTATGAAAAAGTCAGTGAATTCGTCCGAAATCATTAACCCCCACCTAGCTCCATCGCTGATATTCATTTCTGAACAACTGCGAAATTAGTGAAATTTTTCGACATCCTTAGTTAATTTATTGCTAAAAAGTTTCTAGTTAATTGAAATTTCTTATAGTCCGTCACCAATTTGTAGCTTAATAGGATTAACATGATTTTTTTTTATATTTAGCGATGAAATATTAGCCACCACCGAATCTTGTGTTTTTCTCCTTCAAAATAAGAGTAAAATATAAATTCAATTTAAATTTTCATTTTGTGTCTTTTATGACACGTTTATATAGTCAGTATAGATAAATCTCAATGCAATTTAATCCAACAAATTCCAAAAAGAACGTTATCATCACGATTTGAATTTGAATTTGAATTCGAATCCACATTACATGTAATCCAATCCGAGCAAACTAACTCATACAAGAAAACCTACTTCACTCTTTTTTTTTTTAAACAAACTTTTTTGAAAAAAATTATCACCATATGGTGGTGAGATCTTTCATTGATTTTCCTGTGTTATGTTCATATTATTGTACCCTAAATGACCATGATTTTGATATTGTATATTTATCATATTTAACCTAACATTTTGTCTTCTCGATAATGACAATTGACAAAAGGAAAAGTTAAAAGATGTTCATTCAGTTACTCTGATCAAAGAAATTGGTCCTTGTGACAATTATTCATTATTGATGTTGATGTTTGCAACAAACATACTAAAACCTTTCTATCGAAGATACAAAAGTTAGTTAGTAGCTAAATGATACGGTAGAGTAATTAGTTAGAGAATCAAATTAGTTATAACTGTTCCTTTCTGTTAAGCAGTTAGAAGGATATATATATATATATATATATATATATATATATATATATATATATATATATATATATATATATATATATATATATATATATATATATATATATATATA